GGCTGGGGCTGGAGTAGCCAGGAGCCCCCCACACATACCCCCAGCTCCTGCCCTGGCTCTGTAGCACCCCTGGAAGCGGCGGTACCGGGAGCTCCTCCGGGCAGCAGACGTCCCTGTTCTCTTACCTTTATGTGTCCTCCAGCGTATTCGTAGGGATAGCGACAGTCCACCACCCCCCACGCCCCCGCCTCCCCGGCCGGCTGGCCACGCAGCAGGGCAGCCACCTGGAGACCGGGAGGTGGGGGGATTGAAATGGGGTGTGGGAGGAGCTCCCCAGATGCTGTGTCGTGGCTGGGCTGGGCTTCCCCCCCCCCCCACGTGCCAGGACCCTCGCTCCCGGCGCCGGGCCCATGCTACTGGTGTTTGTGCTGGCACCTGGGCTGCCCGAGAGGGCGTAGAGTCCACAGCCCCAGTGAGTCGGGAGCCCCAGGGACGGGGGAAAGAGAGAGCTGCAGCAGGAGGGGCCAGACGTGGGGGGCTGCGGGGAGAGAGGGATGTTCTCAGCCCTTGCTGGGTCAGGCTGACCAGACGGGGAGGCCTGGGGCAGAGCCGCCCTGGGCCCCTGGCCTGAGTGGAGAAGTCTGGCAAAGGCAGGCCGGGGTGAGGAGCCCTGGCAGGGTGTGGGGAGAGCCCGGGAGGGGCTCAGTGGAGGCAGAGGGGGAGGGCCCCGAGGGCCAGGGAAGGGCCAGCCCTCGGAAGGCCCTAAGACGGGTGCTTGCCCGGGCAGTAGTCCCAGCAGAGCAGGAGGGGCAGCCTGGGCCCGGGCCCAGCAGCCTGCCTGAGCTGAGCCGGGGAGCGGGCCTGCTGGGCGGGAGGCAGCCACACAGACCCTGGGAGAAGCTGGGCCAGACCTGCCCTCTGCCACGGCCAGGAGCCCCGCGGCCCGTGGGGAGAGAAACCTGCAGCAGGCGCCACAGGGGAATTGTCCCCACCCCGCAGCCAGGAGACCGGGGCAAAGGCTGAGCAGGCAGGGAGGGCGCAGCAGCTGGGGGTGAGGAGCGGGGTAGGGCGGGAGGCAGCCACACAGACCCTGGGAGAAGCTGGGCCAGACCTGCCCTCTGCCACGGCCAGGAGCCCCGCGGCCCGTGGGGAGAGAAACCTGCAGCAGGCGCCACAGGGGAATTGTCCCCACCCCGCAGCCAGGAGACCGGGGCAAAGGCTGAGCAGGCAGGGAGGGCGCAGCAGCTGGGGGTGAGGAGCGGGGTAGCCGCACGGTCGAGGCCAGGGCTGCAGTCCACGCTGCTCGGGGATGCTGCTGGCA